TCTATCCAACCTACAATACACTAAGCTTTCGCCCAATGTGGCCTGTCTCAGTAGTTATTAGTCTCAATTCAGGTTCTTAACATGCTAAGAACTTTTTTTCTTTCAATCCTCAACTGGGGACTACAAGCCCCTTGTCTTGATATAGGCTTTTCTTTTTAGTAATAAGAATATATATACAAAATCAAAGGACAAAGTAAAACAAAAGGAAATAGACACAACAATAAAGTCTATTCTAGCTAAAACAAATAAAACCAAAAGCAAAGAGAAAAAAAAACAAAATAAAATAAAAGAAGACAAGGGTAGCACTATTAATCCTGTGCCTGACTGTAAAAATTATATAGTATTACTAAAAACTAGTTTAAACTCTACACTAGTTATTTATGCCTATATTAGAATATATAAAATATCTATTCTTAAGTAGAGATTCAAGTTTGAAATTTCTCTTGCAGTCCCAACGAGTCTTTATCCAGCATTCTGCAATATATAACTATTTGTTTTTGTTCCTGGGCAAAGTTAATATGCTAGGGCACTTAGTGTAAACACTGCAACCTCTTGAGGTAACGTGATCAAGCATTATTCAACCCAAAGTATATACATACGCATGCACTTGTATTTCTTTTTTTGGCAGTGATTATTGTTGTTGATCTTTTGATGGTGATACACTGTATTTCTCACTTTTTGGTGAAATTTCATAAAGAGCAAAGAGTAGGGTGTTGAAAGAAGTTTTAGTTAGCAGGTAGACATAAACTTCGATAGGAAAAATGTTAAAAACTCGCTTGTTGTTCTCCTAGACAACTTTGTTAGCAGAAGATAGGCTTCTATTAAATTTTTTTGCACAAGGGCACCACCTCTTGCTAGTTATCTTGTGCAGAAATGCTTTTAACTTGCTTGCTGAATATACAAAGGAGTCCGAGAGAAAAAGAAGAGTACAAGAACCCTTGATCTTTATAAAAACTGTTACTTGTATAGTTATCTCTTCTACTTATTTCCAACAAGTTTCTGTTTTTGTTAGTCATAAGTTTGGTACAAGTGATTGTCAGAGAGAGTGTGATAAATATAAACTGCTATATTTAGTATTATGATTTTTGCAAATCACTATACTAAATAGTTATTTTTTATTTAACAAATAAACTAGAGCTTTACTTGGCTATACTTTAATTATAATCAAAATTCTATACTAACTTTTACTTAATAAATTGTTGGCTTATTTTTTATTATACTAGATATTTTATATCTTTATAACTTTAACTATTTTTTATAATTTTTTAAACTTTATTTTATATTAAAAAATTTGTTATAACTTTCTAATATTATTTTAACTTTATCTCGAAACTTCTTTATAACTTAATACTAAATTTATTGAGTAAACAAACCTCTATCTAAACTTATCTACAAAATTTAAAGTTATATAATATTTAAAAATATACTACTTAGACCAAATAAACTCTTTTAGATATTATACTTAAAGGCTTTATTCTAATATCACTAATTCAAACTATTCAAAAATTAATATTTTATATAAATTTATCTCTCAAACTATTATAAAATTTTTACTCTGAATTAAAAGCTTATCTATGAATAAATATAGAAACTATATTGTAATAATTTTTTATATAAAAAAAATAATATAATATTATTTTACTTTATAATTAACCCTAGTTACAGCAACCTAGTAATAGTATCTCAAAAGGTACTCACAAATTATATACTTATTTATACCAGTGTGACTTATCTAATCAATTATATATATGTAAAATTAATATTTTCAATATACTATAGATTAAATATAGTATTTCTCATATTATATCTTATCTATCATAATCAAAATGAGTCTTTAACTACTATAGTAGATTTAGATCACAGATAAGCTTTTATTCTTGCATATAATTTTTACTTTTTATATTTTACATATTTAAAGATTAACAACTCTCTGTAGTTACTATGTTAAAAATTATTAATAAAGATATAACATTTACCTCGCCTTAATAGCAAAAAAAATACTAAATTTATAAATGAAAAAATCTGACATGTAATATTTTATGTAAATTTTATAATAATAATTAATCACATATTGATAATAAAAGTTTCAAACAAAAAAAGTCAAATTTTTAGCTGGATTAGCAAGTTAAGAAGAATAAGAGTTTGAAAGCTTAACTGGCTAGAAATTTCAGCGAGCCGCTCACTAACTGTATAAAGCATCTAGGCATTTCAATGTGAGATTCTAAGCACTGAAGCCTTTTTGTAATGTCGAACAATAATAACAATTGCAATAATAAAGATAATAATTGTTAGACCTAAGCCTGCACCTAGACCTATGATTATGTCTGAATGGCTTTGATCGTAATAAGTGGTTTGTGAATTATTATTATTAGTGGGTTGTGAATTATTATTCGAATATGTCTGACTAATCAAATTATCTTGACGTGTAAAAATTTCGCTGTAATTATTAATACCCCATAAAATGCCATCAATAGAAATTGCAACATATTTGAGTGAACCATCTATCTGGCGCCAAGTATTATTAACATATTGATAGATTTCATTATTATCATTTACACCAACAATAAGATCTCGGCTGCCAACATAAATTTGGTTAAGCTTGCCACCTACTTGTACCCTATTTGAAATAATGCTTAGAATTATGAAATTAAACAGTTTAACACAAAGAAAAATACTAACCAATTGTATCCATCCCATTTATAAATATCATGGTTGCTATTAACACCCCAAACCGTTCCGTCTGAAGCTACCGATACATCAATCAATAAACCAGGAACTAGAAGTTTCAAAACTATTTAAAAACTGGGTTAAGAGTCATCAGTTTTATTTAATTAACTAACCCTGTGCCCATATCCCATTAGTGTTTATATCACCATTAACTCGAAGAAAAATAGCGCTTGAATTATTAACTCCCCAAACATGAGTTTTATCGCCAACTAAAAATGAAAAAAAGTTAATTGACATTTCAACAAAAAAAAAAAAGAAATAAGCAATAAATTTGCCTGAAATTTGAGCCAACCCGCCGAGAATCTGTATCCTATAATATGTAGTATAGCAAAGCAAAAGCACTGTAAAGCCATGGAGATAAATGAAGAGGAATAAAGGGGAGTAATATATTAGCCAATTACCATGCATAATCGACCCATGCATAAATAGCATTAGATCGATTAACAACCCAGACGGTTCCATCGGCACCAACACCAACATACGTAGCGGCTCCTAGAACTTGATACCAAGTGCCGTTTATGTATCGAAATATCTGTAATACCTAAAAGTGAATATTGACCTGTTCATTATGATTAAGAAAGTTTGAAATATATTACATTATCTTGTGCGTTCACACCCCATACATTATTACCACGGCCAACGGCCAATTGAGTAAGTAGGCCTTCAACTTTTTGCCATCCCATAATAGTTCGTTTTGAGTAAGTATTTTGAAATTTATAATTTTATATAACAATTGAGGATTTATAGAAGCTAAGTTGCAATTTGCCAAAAAAGCACTTATGTAAATACAATGCTGAAGAAAGTATTTGTAATTTCTGATTGTATTATAAATTATTCTGCACTTTACAATAAAGTAACTGATAATATATACTTTGAAGTGGGAATCAGAAGACTTATTTCAATAAAATTCAAGCACAAAATAGTTGCGGAAGGTACGTACGTACGTAATTGCAATAAAGTTATAATACCTTAAGGTAGTACAGATTTGGTGTTACGACTATAGATGCTGGTGAAACTGGTGACTATCTAAAATTTGATTGGCTGTTATATTAAATTTCACCAGTTTCACCATTCAACAAGAATTTCCCCAGTTTCATCAGCATCTATAGTTACAACTAGAGATGTGCGAATGCATATTTTTTTTGGCTCTGCATTGCATAATGCAGCATGTGACATTATGCAATCATGGTGTTCTACTAAAATCAAGAAGCAAGATTCAAACCCAATCTTTCTCATCTCTAGACAGAAGTTTACTATTTCATGATATTTTCAAACCTCACATTTGTTAGTCTGCTTTATACAGGTAGGAAATTACTAACTGGTACTACATATCACTTAGTATTACATATGGTAATTATTTTTGAATTCAGGCCAAAATGCTATTATATCATATATAAAATTGGTCCGGGTTCAAAAATAATTACCCATATGATATAAAATATAATATTTTATTCAAAATTGCTATATATCGCCACTGGTGATCATCACCAGTGATTTACAGATGTAACGTATAAATAAGCGATTTTTTAAACAAATTTAATTCTTTTAATATTAGCAGTCATACAGGATGTCGTGCAGATCACGTGTGTAAAATTCTTGATATGGAGTCAAATGATTGACGCACCTAATTTTTATATGTAAAATTTAGAAAAATTTTTGTTTTTTGGATTTATTTAATAATAAAAATTTTTTGGTTT